TATTTATATATTGAATATATATATTATTTATATATTGAATATATATATTATATATATATATTCAATATATAAATATATTTGAAATAAAGTTACGCGCGTGATTCTCGAAGCGTTAGAAGGAAAAAGGAAAAGGTAAAGGAGGATGAAGATAGTGTTAGGATAAAGTTGGTAATGGTACGGTATACCTTGTAGTTCTATCTTGCAATTAAAGCGATTTACGAAGCGAACGTGAAGAATCTTTCACCCACAAAGAAGCAACCCAAGTCCTTGCCATTTTGCAGCATCTTACAACTGTGGAATAAACCCATACTAAGGAAATGACAAAGAAATATCTTTCTCTTTCTCGAGATGTGTATTGAAACTCTCATAGAGATATTGCATTGGCTATGAAAATAACGTTTCCTTTTTTTTGTTTTTCTTTTTTGTTTTTTTTTTTCCTTTTCGAAAAGAACCCTTCGTAATCTATTTCCTCGTCACGATCGTAAAACCTGCCAGAGGCTAGAATCTATTCTCTCTTTTCAAACTAACTAATTAACTAAATGATATTTGAAAGTTATTTTAGAAATAAATATATTGAAAATAACTTTTACAATGAGTTTTGGATGATCAAAAGAATTCTTGTCATTATTAATGTAATATTAATGTTATATAAGTTCTAGAAGTATTGTATTAAAGAAGAAATTGAATATTTTCGAACCGATGCAACATTTTTGTTTTTATTGTTTTCCATTTATTTCTACAATTGAAAATTTGTTATCAACTTAAATTAACTTTTTAAAAAAGGAAATATCAAATTTACGGTTAGAAAAGTATCTTATATTAAGGATAACTCTTTTTTTTTTTTTCATATTATTTTCTACTTTTTATCGATAACTCGATTAATTTTCGAAGTTTACTCTTTTGCATAGTAAAAGTAAATTAATGTTAAATCGATTCCACGTATATCTCCTGCCATTGTAATATTTAAAGTCTCGCATTATCTTCACAGTTAAAGGTTCACAATCTAAAAAGGTTAAAGATATCACATTCATATGAATAAATACGTTGCACCATTAAAATTTATTCGGTAGTTATGTAAATTTAAATATTTAACAGTAATAATTAAAATAGGAAGATGTATAATAAACGAAAAATAAAAATAAATTAATATTAATATTATTATAATATTACCGTACAAAAAATTCTCGAACAAAAACAATTCCCCTTTGAAAAAATTCCGTAATATATTGAATTTATCAAAAATATTATACTTTTTTATGTGAAATTTTATTGATATTACATCGAACGATACGTTTTTTTCGGATAAAAAGAATTAATTAAAAAAAAATAGCAAAAACGTTATAACATTTTATTGGTTTTAACGAACGAATGGATTTTATTTTTTTTTTGACGGTCAACGATTGAAAAAGAAAAAGAAAAAAACACACAAAAAGAAAACGGAAGAAAGGTAATAAAATAAAAATAAAAAGGATAGTAATGACGACAATTAAGATTATAAAGTTAAATTGTTGAAGAATACAAGGAACACTACTCGCGTGTTCGTGAAAAGTAGGTAAATGGGTTCGCGTGAGATACTCCAACGACGTCAATGGTCTTGTAATCACATTGCCTTGGTAAACTGTATAAATACGAGAGTGAAGCTTGGCCCGAGAATCGCATTAAGAACCGCTTGTAAATTATGTAAGAACGCAGAACCATTCGAGTAATAAGTTAATTATTCCTTTCGTTGTTTAAAACCTTATTTCGCATTGAGACTTCGTCGTTTTAAAGTTAATCGTCATCCTTATGGTTGACATCATTTAAAAATAATTCACACGATTTTATCCAATACTTAATTTTAATTGTTAATCCTTTATTACTTCATTTCGAATTAAATTTCAATTGGCGATTAGTTTGAAAAACAAAAAAAGAAAAAATTAATTCTCGATCATTCATTCATATATACATATTATATTATACAGTTAGTTGATTATTGATATATATGTATATATAAGTTCTCGTAAAATTAAATTTAAAATTAAAAGAAAAAAAGAAATAGAGAAAATATTTCTCACTCGAACGTATTAATGTTTTAAAAGTAAATCTGTTTATATTTAATAATTCATTTTTGTTAACCGAGTTATATGTTACCCACTTCCTTTATATCTTACATCATAACTTATCTTGTATATATATATATATTCTATATTCCATCCTATCATATAACTTATATCATATTCTGTAGACTATTTTATCCTATATATTATATATTTATATCTTATCTCATATCCCATCCTA